CTCCTCTACCAGTACCCAGGTGTGTGTTAATTGAGTGTCTCAGCACAATGAAGACAGAGAGCTTGATGTTCTGCATGGAAGCTGGGCTGCCATTGAAGACAGCAGCAGTCGGTCTGTTTTCTGATGACTGGCAAAGTGAGAAACTTCCTGAATTCAACTAATGTCTATGTTTTTGTTTTCTTTTGGGTGAGAGAGCCAATGAGCCCTGCTAGCTGGTGACTTCTAGAGCACGCTTGGGCTTGCACGAAGGACAGCCCAATCAGAGTCAGACTGTGGTGGCAGGACCCAAAGCTAATTAATGCCCTATTAGTAACTCATTTGTGGCTGAAGGGATTTCCCAAATGCCAGGCACGGTTATGTTGTGCCAGTCTCTCTTGAGGCAGGTCTTGTTTGGCATAGATTGGACCGCATTCAGGCATGCATTCATCCTCTTGCACTGCAGTTAATATTTTCTTGGGGACCTCTTTTAATTTTCAAGACGACGATCAGCCCAGTGTTGCTTTTGAAAGAAAAATCTGAGAAATGCTTCTTTTCAGAGAGCAAATCCCATAAATAACTGGATTCTGGAAGCCTGCGTTGCCAGTATTTCTCCACAGCAGCTCATTACTTTCAGGGCCTTGTTGGTATCGGCTGTCTTCTCGATGCCGTGTCCTGTGGCTCGCTCACCTGGAGCCGGCCCCACTTTTGGAAGGCAGAGTGCACACAGGGTCCCTGAAGCACGGTGCACACTCAGCGGCTCTGAAGGCTGCTCTTTGTCTCCATCAGGCTACCTGGAGTCAGCTCTGCGGCCAGCTGAAACCAGAGGCTGTCGGCTGGGCAAAGCAGGATGGCAGCAGGCAGCCGCTGTCACAAGGGCCAGAGCCTCTGCTGTGAGCGGGTGTTACTCATTTGGTAATACCAGTCTATTCCAGCTGAGGATCTGCCCCTTTGTTTTGTCTATAGGACAATTTGTTTTCAATTTTTGTTTCTGAAATGAAACTGTCAAGATGAAATTCACACTTAAAAAATTGAGGGAAACGGCCCTTTGTGCGTTTCTAACAATCCTCTTCAATGACTAAAGCTGGAGGAATTTTAGAAGCTGCATTCACTTCCTACCTTTGGTTTCTTTTTGTGCTGTTCTCGTGCTTTATGAATTGAATTTCGAATCTAACAGGCCAAAAAGCTGTCAGTCCCAAATCTCCCTCCTGAGCTGAGTGTAACCTAGGGACTTGCGCTCTGATGCTGAAGTCAGTCTGTGCCTTCTGTGGCAGCAGGAGCAGCACCTCCCTGTGTGGCAGACGCAGCCATGTGCTGCCTTTCCAGCTCAAGAAGGAACACGTAGACCCTCCATGAAGGGGGGTTTCCCCAGGGCAGGAGACATCCATCCTCCGGCAGTCTGCCAGCTACCCACTGCAAGTAAAACAAAATCATGGTGAGAGAGGCTGAACCAGGCTGAAATCTGCAGAGTCCAGCTGCCTGCTGTGCTCTGCCCTGGTGAGCTCCATCTGCTTGTGCTGCTGGGGAGGCTCCCTGCAGGGTCTCATGGGGTTGTCTGCTGAGCAGTGCTGCAGGGACCTGGTCCTCACCTGGGGCTCCTTCCAACTACAAAGAGCTGTCTATTGTCATTCCAAAAGGAAAAAAGAAAAGAAGAACTTTTTAAAAAATAATAACAGTATGCATCTCATTTTAATTTTAGTCCTGGAAACTACTTGGTGCTCATTACAAAGGAATTGATTCCTTAAACGAATGAAGCAGCAGTGCTGCTTGCAGTGTAGGACTGCTGACACTCTGACTCATGCTTTGCATCTCACAGGATCTGGCTTTTATGCTTCATTTAGGACACCAACGTCATCAGCATTCAGAAGGCTCCTGCTTTTTTTTTTTTATTACGATACTGCTGTTACTTTTTTTTTTTTAAGATGCAAATAATATTTGGATCAGAATCACAGCTCATGTTTTATTACCAAATCAAGGCATAATGGTTGCTTTCATTTAACTTTCAAGCATTAGAAGAAATTCTAAATGAAAATGAGGTGTGGCTTTGTGCAGCAATGCGAGGAGCTGAGGCATTTGCCGGGTGCCTGGCTGGCTGCTGCCATGGAGCATCATTTGCTGGTGAGAGAGGTGAGGACATTCATCTTGTGCTGCACGTGGCTGGGACCTTGGGCTGCCTGAACCTCAGCATTTCCATTGCATGCAGAACAGCTGTGCCAGCCCTGCCCGTGTCCCTGGAGATGGCATGTTTGAACGGCAGCAACTCCAAACACGGCGCAGCTCTGCAGCTCAGCCCCATTGTTCTGAGGCTGGATGTGACACAGCAGCGTGCAAGTGAGCCCTGCAGAGCGCCTGGGCCTGCCCAGGATGGCACCTGAGCTGTGTGAGATTGCTGCACACCTCGTGCTACAGTGCTACAGTGCCATGTCTGTCCTGACTCATAACTGCTGGGAATGGCAAAGAGCCTCTTTTGTTGAGGGGCCGGGCATTTTTAATGCAATAGGGGGAGAAAAAAATAGCGCTGCAAGTCCTCAGTGCTTCCCTGCTCTGCTCCAAAGGCCCTTGGAGTCCCGGAGCAGCTCTCAGAGCTCTGTCCTCATGGGCAAGCACTGCTTGCCCAGCCCATAGGGCATCCCACAGCACGCATGGGGGTGGTGTGCCCATGCAGCACTCCACAGTGAGCTCAGGGAAACAGCAGGGTGGGAGCATGCATGGGAACCTGCCTATGGATTCTGTTGAGTCTGCTGCCATCAAGATTCAAATTAGCAATGAGTTAAAAGAAAAGTGCTACTCCTCGCCCTACGAATATGCAGGGTTGGGCTGGGAATTCCAAGAGGATTTGTAAATGAGGGTTGAAAATTCCCAGCCAACCACTTGGCACCTTTTTAGTAGGAGTATTATTTAGTAAGTATAGCTCTTAAAAATCACGTAAACTGAAAGTGGTTGAGAAATCGGTGGCAATTACTTACTTGAACTCTCGGCTTTATTAATAAATGAAGAAGAGCTGCTCGTGCAGCCGGGCGGAGCTGCAGTCACAGTGCACACACAGCAGGTGCCCACCGGCGCTGGGACCTCTGTGTTCCATGGACAAAGCGCGGTGCTTCGAGCGCTTGCAGGAGCGGCCATCGCTTCATTTTGCCCCAGTGATTCGGGGGGCACGTGAGGGTTGCTTACAGCGAGGTGTGCTTTGTCTGATGGCATTTCTGCCGAGTGACAGACGAGCCATCTGGCTGTTAGGCTGAAGTGCAGCGCAGCGTTTTCTTAGGAGGGAGCCTGCAGCGATGACAAAGCAGTTCCACACCTCCGCTGCCTGTGTCACAGCAGGGCTGCTGCTGGCAGATCAGCAAAGCCAGCATGAGATGGCAGAGCCGTGCTGGAGCGAAAGGAGTCCATCAGACCTCTGCCCTCCTAGGGACGTGGAGGGGACTGAGCGGCAGCAAGAAAAATGAGGGACTTTCAGGGGCAGCTGTGTTTTACTAACCCAGTCATAATGCCCCTAAAAATCCTTATTGTTCTTGCAATGGTCAACTGTGACCTCCGGCACGGGGAGGCCTGGAAGGTAAGCACGAGTGCTGGGTGCAAAGCGAGCATGGTAGGGCAGGTCTGCCTTTGGGAAGGATTGCTTGCAAGCTGGAGTGGTGTTACAGGCTGGGGAAAGTGGTGTTACAGGCTGAGTTTCCATCAGAGGTGGATTGGAAAAGCTTCACAGTTAATGGTGGTATGGAGAGTGCATTGTTGTATGAATCTGAGGGCATGAGAACTGGAACACAAAGTGGGAGAAATGAAAGAAACCAAGCACTTTCCCTTTCTGTTTCATCTATCTCTCATTTCTGGCTATCAGATCAAAATGCAGCCAGGGATCTTCTCAAACCAACCCCAGAGACACACAGCCCTGACCACAGCACCCCAGCAGGAGCGTGGCTGGTTAATAGCAAGGGACTGGGGAGCAGGGGAGCACCCCGAGCCACACAGATTTACTGGTCCTTTATTTAGCATTATAAGTTGCTCCACTGATTGCAGGACAGTCACAGGACGTGGGAAGGTGGCCATGCAGCATCAGCAGTGTGCCTGGGCAGCAGGGAGCCACCGACTGCTCCACTGATGGCCATGGGCTGGGCAGTGCCTGCCTGTGTCACTGTGCCCCTATTCTGCACAGCTGTCTGCTTGCTGATGGAAGGGCTCCATCCTGCAACGTTCCTGCTCATGTCCCTTCCTGTAATATCACAGGACTGCGCTGCCATAAATGATTGCAGTCAGAAGTACTTTAAAAAACTGTTTTTTCAGATTCCAGGACAGTGATGTCTGCTAGCTTATTGCATTATTACATCTGCATTTCTTCCTTTTTTTTTTTTCTTTCAGTATTCAATTTATTCTTTTCATGTTTGGGAAAGAGTTGGTGGTTTTACACTTAATGCCTTTCATTACATTGGGAACTGCCCTCTCCTTGCTAACTCCCTGCTTTACTCCTTGGTCTGCTGAATTGCTCTCAGCCATTGCAGATCTCTGCTCGTTCTCATCATCTTATTCTCAGCTTCATTCCTGCTTAGGGCAGAGATGCAGTAACTGTACAAAGAGAAGCAATTTGTTAAACAGAACTGTAATATTCAATTATTCTCCATCATGCATTCTAACACCTTGTTTGCATTTCTGAGAGCTTGTATGTGTTAAGTTTTTGTTTTCATTGAACTCTACAACAAAAAGCTTTTCTCCTTTAATAACTTTACCTAGGGAGATGGATAATCAAATTAATCTGGCTCCACAACACTAACTGTCCCCTTCCCAGCGTCTGGTTGTTTTAATCATTACCTGTTTGAAAAGGCTTTCTCTATCAATTAATTGATATTTTTATCAATGAATTCTGCTTCATGTGACTGCGCCAATAGATTAGAAATGCATGCTTATTTTTATTTTTTTCCTTCTCTCTACACAGACTGCACAGACTTGCCTTTACACATCACTTACCTATTTTTAATTGGGCTGTGTGGCTCCACAGCAAGCATTACTCATTTGTTATTTGTCATTCTCAGGAACATTTCAACTGCTTTTCTTAAAGCTCAACTCTATGTAAAGGAGAAGTGACTAGAAACCCCAAACTGGGTCCTGGGTCTTGCTTAACTCTGTAAAGCACACTGACTTGCTGACACGACTCCAGTTAAGGTATGGTATGAATCAGGAGCTCCAACAGCCGCTGTGGAATGAGTGCGTTCACATGAAGTCATCCTGCAGCAGCTATTGCAGAATAGTCAACTGCTCTGTGTAAGCAAGCCCTAAAAGACAATCCTGGTCCCAGCAGTTGTGTGACTAGGTAAGGGAGGTAATGGGCACAAGAAAGGCATATTCTGTCTGCTAAGGATGGGCTGGGAGCAAAGAAACCTGTGCTGCTCAGGGCTGCCTTGCAGGTCGCTGCCTTTGGAGTTGTTTGCTTCAGGACTTTCTGCTTTGATGCCTTCGATTTCTGAGACCGGTCCAGCATACGAAGCCACAGACTGTTTCCTCATGTAGCTGATGCAGTGTCTTCACCTGATACCAAAACAAGATGTGAGGAATTGAACGTTTCCCCTGGTGAGATGTGTGGATGGAACTGACCTGCTTTTAATCCAGTATCTACCGATCAAATAAACAGAAGCACCACCACTACTAACAGGAATGACTGACGCTTAGTACTGGAAACAGGAAGATCCAGAAGGGGATTTTGTGCCTATGTTACAATTTTTATCTTTAGTATTCACATCTTACTCAAAGTAAGAATATTTGTATGTTAAAATAACCCCCTTTTTGCTTTGTAATACTGGATTGAGCCTGCCCAGCTTCTTCCTATCACAGCTCTGCCCCATGGAGAGAACCCAGTGGTGGATGTGGAGGTCAGAAGAGCTCCTCCAAATGCAGGGGATGTGCACAGGACAATCCTGCAGCTCTTCCTGAAGCTAGTGCATGGATGAATGGATCGTCTTCTCATGTGCTATGGGAACTCTGCCTATATAAATGTCTGACAAACTCTTCCAGTGCTTTATAACCGTGTTTCTTCTACCTTCTGGTAAGCCACAATTTCCTGCTTGTGCATCTCTGTCATTTAGCATCTCCAGCCTGGCTTGGAAAATGCAGAAATTCCTAAAATAAATGTGTTTTGAAAAATAGACACGGGATTTTTTCAGTCAGTCTCAATGGTGCTGCCCTAGACTTCTTGAATTTGCCATCCCTAGAGTATGCTAAGTAGTATGAACATTAAAATAGACCCTGCCAAAATAAAGCATTCCCTACTCGCATGCAGATAATTCTGCATGGATAGCAGAAGATGTACTAAGCTTGAGCCACCATTCATATTTCTCTGCACATCAAAGCAACTGCTCCAGAATCTTTCAAGCACCAGTGTTCCAGGCTGCAAGGAGTCTCTGGCTGCACAGGACCTTTCTGAACTGCCCTGTGATGTTATCAACTGCTTTCAGTGCACAACATCTGCCTGGATAATTTAATCTGCTACATTCATTCAAATAGAAATTGTGTGTCAGCCACATGATCTGAATTAGACCAGTGCAGGAAATAACATTTTGCAGGCGAATTTGGTGCCTTCTGTCACTGGAGCCCTTTGCTACTTTTTGATGAATAGCTGTTTCATGGAGGAAATGTGGTTATTAAGGCAAACTTTCTTCATGATTTAAATTGCTTTCAGCAAAACTGAAGAAATCCAAGCTGCCAAGCAACCTTTAGTTTTAGCAGATTATTGCTGGGCTTTGTCTTTTTAATTAGGCCAGTGTTGATCAAGTTTAATTAAGAGAACTGGTGAGACAGCCAGGACAGCCTTCCTAAGAGCTGGACTCTGTTCTGGGGCCCAGCTGGTATTGGTTGAGATTTAGTTCTCTAAAAAGAGAAATAAAACAAAATAAAACCTTAACAAAATGAATAGACGCCTTGAGTCTCCACACAAACTCATCAGCTGGCGTAGGATAGTGGGACTTCTCTACCTACCTTTCTGTGCAGCATCAAGTTTTAAAGCTGGTAACAGGATGTGACTTCTGAACCTGACAGCCCTGCAGACAGGAATTCCTCATTGCTGAGGATGATTCTGCCTTATATGCAATTTGGAAAAAAAAAAGAAGTACTTACTTTTACTTGTCTATTAAAGACACAAGAGAAAGATCCATGGTTTTCCATGTAAGTAACTGTCAGAAGAGATGAGTTAAATTCCACATTCGAATTCTTGATATTCCTCTATTTGTCATTGTGCCTTCGAGCTGACGTGCTGTAATTACCCCTGAACGGCTCCCTCATGACCAGGGCACCTGCTGAGCATCACCTATTAGGCTTTTACATCTATAAACTTCACCTGCTCCCTCCCTCTGTGCAAAACCAAACTGGTGCTTTCTCTAAGCTCAAAAGGAACCTGTTCACATATGAAGAGTAAAAGCAGAGAATTCAGAGTTGTAGCAATCAAGTTTATAAATCAGGTAAGCCCAGGGAGAGGGGAACAATACATTTATTAGTCTGCAATTAAGGGAGGGCAGGGAAGTTTTCTCAGACAACTCAGACTCCTGAGGCTGCTCATCTGCCTCGTGAGAGAAGCAAAGTACACAGCTTCACTGTGATCCTGAATCTGAGGCTGAGCAGTTTGTTTTGCCCTTGAGCTTCCTGTGACTTCAGTGCAGCGTTTTTAAAGGGAAAATTGAACAAAGATTTATGGGTTGCCACAGCCTGTAGTTTTCAAACATACTGCTAGTCCATCCACTCCTCCCACAGTGGACTAACATGCCCTAATTATTGCCAGCACATACAAAAAGCATTTTTAATCATTATATCATAAAGTGGGACAGAAGTGGACTAATGATACAGAAGGGACCAAATACATTTTCAGAGCTCCAGTACACAGGACAGGGTTTGACCATCAGTCTATAGGCAGAAAGGTTGTCACAGACAGCCAGTCACAATATATTCTGATCTTTTGCTCAGCACAGATACTACCTGCAGTACCAAGCTTTGGCTCCATGACAGATGAGAAGCAAATCTATGGATTCCAGTGCTTGCACTTCCAAGTTGTTATGGCTTGCTATTAAATGGGGAAAGGAAGCCAAAGGAAATCATGTGCATTGGAGTCAAATACCATTTTTAGGAGTGGGAACTGCATGAGTATTTCACCAGTGATTAAAATAGCCAGGGACCAGGGCACACTAATGATTAATGATCTCTTTCTGCAAGCTGAGGACATGTCCTACAGGATCTGGCCCTCCTGAGAGACAGTCATGAAGTACAGTTTGGCGGAGCGTATTTAAAAGGCATGAGCAAAAAAAGTACAGAAACAACAGTACAAGGCATTACTACAAGAAAACTCTGGTTTCCAGTGAGGAGCTTCTGGGAGCTCCTCTTTTTTTTTTTTCCCCAGCTGCAGGGAAGGGTGAAAACTATCAGCTATAAAAATATTACAGTTTATGCTGTTAAACAAATCATAATTTGTCAACAGGTAGCTGAATTATGTCCAACTCCACTGAGAGCCAAAACTGATCTTTTTTCCCAATGCTGTTGTATAGTAACAGCTGGCAGAACACTGTCAAGCAAAGCTGTGCTGGGCTGATAAATAAACCAATGATCCTCAGTGTAGGAGACAAACCATCTCATGGAGAGACTGCAGCTCATGCTGGGATGTGTTGAACAAATGCTTGTTAACAATCTGCACACAGGCAGAGAGTTGCTTTACGAAAAGGTGCTAGAAAAATGTTATTTGAATAAAACACAGCATTCCTAGGGTTATCAAAAGAACCAGCCAGGTTTTAGGTCTCAGAGTCTCTAAAGCACAGCAGCAAACCAGTGAACATTAGCATTTCTTGTTCATTCAAATGGAGAGTCTGGTAACTGGATTCTGGATGAGTGGAAAGACCCAACAAGTTCTAAGATACAGCAAGGCAAGCCAGAAAACCAACAGAGTGATATCTGCTTCTATTTGTTTCAGAGCTCCCAAATTCTGCTGGAGAATTTTTCACTTTTCAGTTGTTTCTGAGGCAGGAGGAGACTTGCTCTGATTGCAGATGCTGTGTTGCCTCTAAGCCAATCAGACTACACTGTCCCATGTGGGAGAAATGAAAATGTCCCATCAGGAGATACAGCTTCATGCTGGAGCTCAGATCCTGGTGTAGCCATCATATTATGCTCTGGTTTTGTCCTTGCTTTGCAGGCATTTTATTTTTATCATGGGTAAGAACAGGAATGTGTGCATTTCTGTGAAAGAACGAGCACAGGGCTGCAAGCTCCATCTCAGTGCAAATAATATTTTGGCAGGAAACCTGCAGGAGATTAAATTAGGGACCTAAAGACTGAATATTAAAACATTTCAAACTTTTGAGTTCTTTTAAATAAGCAGCAACAAAATGAAGCAGTCTGACAAAATTAGTAGGCCCAAAGTGCTAAAGGAATCCTCTAAGGTTCATTTATTTACTGATGCAGATTTAGGAGAACTATTTAGGCTATTTGTATTAGTAGCTGTATATGTCAACATGCTATTTCCTCAATGCATTCTGAGTCCAGATTAGCTAAAGTTTTAGGTGTTGGCAGACTTGCTACAATAGAAGGGAAATGCCACTGGAATAACTTTAAACATGATCCAATCCCTGATGATTCACTGGATGTGTTAAAATTTCCTTTGAGACCATGTAAGTAATGCAGGGACTGGAGTGCAGAGTGCCTGTGACTCAGCTCTCTGCGAGGCAAAGGGAGGATGTCAGAATTACTCACAGGGACAGCAGGAATCTCATTTATCTATTTATAGGCAAGGCTGAGATGAGCTCGTGCCATTGAAGAGCTGAATTTGCCAGTTCTCCTTGGGGGGAGGAAAAGGGAAGGCCCTACCTTTAGCTTCCAAACCCAAGGACTCTGGCCAGCTGCATTTTCCTGCCCTCGGATGAGCAGCACGGGGCACCTGGTGCAGACCTGTTGGAGAGCAGAGCAGCCCCAGCCCCTGGCACCAGTTCCAGAGGGGCTGCAGGACGGGGAGGTCCCATGTCCTGAGCTCAGGGGACTCTTCCCACTGCAGGAGCATCACTGCAGCATGTGTGTATGTCAGCCAGCTTCATTTAAGAGGTGCCGGTTAGATGCCAGCACTCACTTTGCCAAAAGCCTGTTTACTGCTTCTCTTCAAAGAGGTACAACATCATTCCCCATGCGGGCGTTTTGCCTAACAGGCCATCAGAAAAGGAGAGCTCCAAGGGACAGAGCAGGGAGCTGAGCACACTGCCTGCCTCCAGCCTCTGCACAGCCTGCAAGGCACTGACAGTGTCGAGACAGCAATTCCTGAAGGTGTGCTTTCAGCAATGTATATTTAGGTTTGGGAGGTGAAAGATGGTCACATTTTGGGTAAAAAGCAAGAGCTCAAGCCCACAGCAAAATGTTTTAGTGACACTTTTTCTGATACAGCCAGCACTTAGCAACACAAACTGCAGCCTTGTTTTCTTACTGAGGAAGAAACCACTCCATGGTACGCACTGCACACCGCACTGCTCCATCACTGGGAACACCTTTGTGGTGTTGGTTGGGCAGTTCTTTCCACTCCCTGCATTTAGCTGCTGTGGCTAATTCCCTTCCCAAAAAAAGAAGTTATCTAGGAATGCAGGGCTCTGGATTACTGATCCAGCCTCCTACTGTTACATTCAATTACATCATATTGTGCTTTTTGGCAGGCTGTCCCAGCACTTCATTTAAAATTTTCAGCTTTAATATCATTTGTTCTTGTGCCAGCATCATAATTTAGTTTAAACAATTCTCTTTTTCCTCTGATCTTTACCTATCAGATATATTTACTGAAAACAATCCTATCTCCTCTAGCCTTTGTTTTGGAAAACTAAACAAATGAAACTCTTCTAGTCTCCTCTTGTTCTAAACCCTCTGATCATCCTCAGTGCCCTTCTCTGTACCTGCTAATCTTCCTCAAACATGAGTGAACCTGTACCTTCTAGGATTGTGTTTGCCTCTCCATATCAGATTGGTGGCTCACAGTTATCCCTGGGAGCAAGTAAGCTCTGCGGGTTTTTTTCCACCCCCCTGCCTTTGTCATCTTCAAGTGAGTAATATGATATTCTAGTTATTAATTTCTAACTGCACGTCTTACTACTTTGTCCATTCTATTTCAGATGAATTCTGTCATTCACTCATTGCTGACTGATGCTCCGATCATCCTCTGTATTAAGAAAGCCCGTGTCCTCAGCAGATTTCTTTACTATATTCCTGCTGCTGTACCAGACTCGTTAATGAAACAAGCAAGACTGAACACTGACTCCTGAGGAGTTCCACTTACTGACTGCCTCTGTCTGGCATTTCTTCTCTTCTCACAGCTCCCCTCTCCTCTGCACTTTAACAGTTTTGCATTCACCATCCACACTAATCCCCATCGTCTCAACTTCAACCAGTAATTTCCCCTGTGGTATAATATCAGATTCTTCACTCAAGTCTGGATAGAGTAAATCACCTGTATTTCATTTGCCTAAAAAAAAAATCAGTCATCAAAGAGAAATATCAGGGTAAGCTGAACTCATTTCATGTGCCAAATCCTGGGATGGAAATCTGCCAGTGCACCTTCACCTGAGCACACTGAATTCTTCATGCTTTTCTTTCCACCTTACATGCGATGATTTTCATTCCCTTACGTATATTCCCACTAGAAATCCTGTCTTTGTCCCACTGCTCAATATGATCATCTCTACTGAAAATGTGGACAAGGTGTTCTTAATTCATTTTTAGACTATATGTAGTTGGGTCTAATCTCAACCCCATTCTCACTCCGTAATGACCACGTTTCTCCTCTTTTTATTTCTCCAGTTGAAACCCTCTGCCATCTGTTCTAATTTCCTTTTCAAGTCCAATTTGCAAGCTCACCTTTGACGTTTCATTCTGTCTCTACCTTCCCCATCCCAGCAACTTCAAACTGGACGACTGAGGCAAATCCTGCCTCCAGTCTTTTGCTCCACCACTTTTCTCCAATGCCACCTTTGTGGCAGTAAATCATAAGGCAGGTCCAGAACTGCTGCCCTGGACACATCACTGGAGTAGTGGCTGTTCAGGACCTGCAGGGTAAGCTGCTTTGTCAGCCCTGTGATAAGAGTGATGGACTCCATCAAAGAGCAGAGCAGAGCATCGTACTCTGTAGCAGTTCCTCTCCAGACATCTGATTTCAATCCCTAGCTGCATGCCAGCAGAATACCCTCATGCCAGTCAGAACTTCTGCATGTCAGTTAATGCTCCCCATGTGTTTGGGGCTGGTTATTTATCCCACTGGGGTTGGAGCATTTCCTGTCAGGGTTAAACTTCCTGCATGTTTCAGCTCGTTTTGGAATCCAAGTTCCATCACATTCAATTCCTCAGCTCTGCAGTGCAGCTGATTCCACTAATTAGCTCCCTTAATTTCTCAACATTTGCCCTCTTTGAGATGAGTCTGTGTGTCACTACAGAGGGTGCTGAAGATTCAGTCCTAACAAGGTGCCTTTAAAAGCTGTGTTTCTTACCCAGAGTTCTCAGAGGCTTTGGCTGGCTCACAACTTGGTGCTTTAGAGGCTGTGAAAGAACTGCACTCCCCTTTGTGCATGAGGCACAATCTTATCATTGCTCAGTATTACTCAGCATTTTCATTCTGTATCCAACTGAGACAATAAAGAGCCTAAAAGGCCACAATTCAAAACATACTGCACTGGATGGAGAGTCCAGTTAAGTCCCTAAAGTGAGGTCCAACGCTTCCTACCCCCACCAAGATCACCGCAGCACTCTGCTAACCAGCTCTGCCTACCAGAACGCAGGATGCCCGTACCTGCCTATTTGCTTTGAATTCTGCCAATTTCCTGCAGAAAGCAAAGCCCATCCAGACTGCAGCTGACCAGTCTGAGATGTGCAGACAGGTAGCAGAGGCCTAGCTTAGACTGTGCTTAGACCAGCACAAGAAGAGAGAGCCATGTCCACAAGGGACTTCTGAAAAACGCAAAGCACCTTTAAAAATCCAGGCCTTATTGCCAGGACTCTGCAAGTGACACATGTCCTCTCTTTACCTGCTTCCTCCAGAGCGGCAGCAGCACGGCCCTCTTCCCAAGCCAGCATGCAAGTGATACAGCCATAGTGCTGGGGCCACGTTGCTATCTGAGATAGATGGAAGCTGTCTTCTGCTGCCAAACTGGTGCACGTTCAAACCCTGTAGAAAGAGCTGAAATGGCAGAGCAAAGTAAATTTCTCTCCTCCTCTCCCCTCTCTTTCAAGGGGAGCAAATATGCCCCTTTCCCCAAACACGTCTGCCTTGAATGCTCCCTGCTCTGCTGGGCACCTACTGACCTTGGCACTGTCACAGGACTCGTGTTTTTCTGAAAGAGTAACCTCCTTGTCAAGAGGCTTATTGCTTTGGGAAACACAAAGCAGTCTTGTCCTCCAAGTGTCCAAGCCTTCTTTTCACGTCTGTTTATTCCTTCACTAGCATTTATTTTTGGCCCTGAAAAAAAACAACCACACAACTCCACATTAAAGGGATGGCGTCCAGTTAAAACCCACATGCTGCACCACCCCTTCACACCCCTTTGCAGGGGAAGGCAGCAGAGGAGACCAACAAAAAAACTCAAGAAAAACTGTCTCCTGTTGGGCACAAAACTGCCTTTGCTTTCTAGTGAAAAGGCAGCAGAGCATCCTCAGAACCACAGAGCACATTGGACAAATAGGCCAAATCCTGCATGCCTGAGGCTTGTTTGTATATACAATCAAAAATTCAAGGGCCAAATTTCCATTTGTCCTGGAAAATCTTTCTAGTTGGTATTATAAAAGGAGCCCAAGAGAGCAAGATGCCAATGTTCCACAATGTCATACTGAGTTTGAGGCGTGTGTAACTCTTGGACAATCCCAGCCTTTGCAACACAGCTTATCAAGGATATAAAATCAGAAAGGCAGTTTCATGCTGCTTCTATGCTGATTCCACACCTGTTTGGGCTACTAGAGCAAGAACATGGCTTCTTATGCAGTATAGAAAAGCTTAAGAGGAGCAGCAGGTGATTGTTGCCTCCTGAGGCTGGTGCCAGCTGTGCTTAACCGCTGCTCGAGGCCAGTGTTAAGGCAAACGAAAGCACTTAGGCCACCAGCAGAGTATGCTCACCTGTTTGACTTTGCAGAGAAATAATCACAGAGCCAGTGCCAGCTTTGTGCCTGCCACCTCCCAACTGAGAGCTGTGACTGTGTGTGGGCTGATGCAGCTGCAGAAGGACTGTCTAAGGGCTCACAAAGCTGAAGTCCAAGGCACAAAGTTCAAGTCCAAGGTCCTGTATTGACAGTGTGTGTGGTCAAGACCTGCGTTCCTGTTGGAAGATGGAGAGAAGGAAAGCAGGACTGCATCTTGAGCTCTTTGTACTGGCTCTGCAAGAGCAATTGTGCTCACTGGCAGTATCTATGACTTGAACCACCCAGCAGCATCCAGCACCCCAGATCATGTAGCTGTGCTCCATTCCTTTAGCACAATGACTGAGTTGGGCACCTGAGGACAAAGTCATTAAAGCAGTCTGCTCTCAAGACCTATGTTACAGCAACTACATCGCTGTCTGCTTTCACTGAAGTCAACGGGACTCTGGCCACAGGCCTGATTCATCTATCTCCTCCATCAATAGATTATCTTTCAAGTCCATTGGCTCCTATGAAATTAGAGCTGTCAAGCCCTGGATGTACACTATGGCATGGTTCAGTCAAAAGAAATGGGGGACATGATGGAAATTGAAACCTCTGGAAAAACTTGGACTATCTTGTATGCTTATCAAGTCAGTAGAATATTAATGCTGCATCCATCATTCAGAGTAATTGCTTCTGGATGCTTGGCTGACTTTGGTAAGGGGCACTTTGAGAAGAATAAAACTGCATTTTTACTGCTGAGAATCTTCCTACAACATACAATGTGGCCCAGGGGGATGCTGACAACTTACTGGTATTGTCTTCAGAGACTACACAGGGGCTAACACTGCTAAACTGTATAAACAAGTGCCTACCCCAGAATATCATTTGAGTCCAGACAGGATTTACAAACGCAGAGACGGCCAGAGGTGGGCTGTCCTTCCATCAGTCTGTGAATCTACAAAGAAAAAAGATGATTTTGTATTCTTTCAATTACATATAGAACATAATTAAAGTAATCACAAAAACAGATGCATGATATCAGTAACTGGCAAATTAAGAATTCGGTCACGGTTGCCCAGGAACTCGCAGCCTCCGTGCAATACCAATAATAATTATTTATAGCCTACTATGCAAGGAAATTAGTCCAGGAAAACTGTCTGCTTATAACATAAAGAGTCACCCCAAGGGAGAAGTTCAGTGCAGTGTGCAGGGAGCAAGACATCACACCATTTTCTTGTCTGGTATTATAAACTTTACTGCAAGTACCATTTGTGTATTTTGCAGAGAATGTCTCGGTTCCCCTGTAACAAATGCCTATTGTATTCCTGCTGAGTTTCATTGAATTTACTCTTGATTTATACTTAAGATCAGAGGCAGATCCATGTTACTTCTTTCTATATAAATCCCTGAGCTGCCTATTCACAAGGATGAGCAACTTCGCAAAAGAATGAGTTGAGAGAAGGAGCTGGGTGGCAGGCTAACTATTAGATCTGATGGCATTACCATAGCATCTGGAGAAGCTAAATGCAGTGCTAACTCAAGGTACAAGAAAGCTTCAGCCCTTGAAAAGAGCTAACAAAGACAAAGCACAGAAAGTGGGAGGTAGCAAAGAGGCACGGAGAAGAGAAGCGGCTGTGCAGCATCACACAGCAGGGAACCCAGAGGGGCAGGAGCAGGGCCCTGTCTCTCAGCACCTTCCAGCTTCACACTGCCTTTTGGTCCTTTCTGCATGTGGACCTCATGCATCTTTAATTAAAAGCACAATCCAAAAATAGAAAATCTTTTTTTTTGTCAAGGGAACTCCTGCTCTGCGAGTTATCTCCTGTGATTAATACCTGCCTCCTCTGCTGAAGACATCCATCTCTGCGTGGATCAGGTTCTAGTAAAGCAAAGCTCACCTCTTAGGAAAGAGAGCTTTCCATTCTGTTTCTGCTAACATTCCTCCTCACCACTGTCCCTGCTTGGCCCTGCAATCGTTTTATGATGCAGCCCAACATAACTCACAGTACTTCCCATTGCTGTGTGCCACCAGTGTTAGCAGAGCCCTTTTTGTGGTAGACAGCAGCCTTCAGACACCCCGTGTTTCCTGTTCAACTGGAGCCAATCACACATTATTTGGTACTGAAAGTCCCTAATTAATTTACACACAACGAGGCCATTGTAACGATAACGTAATGGAGATCGGCCCATTAGCAAAAAGTGTGGATAAATTATTTTCTTTTAATGCTTCCATCAATATTAAGACCCATTAATCATATTTTAAAAAAAACAACTTTAAACATACACACTATTTGTAGGCATTTCTGATGGGATGCCTGCAGCCCTGCCTTTCAGCAAGGAAATCTCTGCCATGTTCTGAGCAGAACTGGATTTTTACTGCACAGAAGATAGCACAACTGGTCCAACTCCTCTGATATCCTCTTTATAAAGTGAGAATATAACAGTTTTAACGAAAAGGAAATCAACATTAAATGCAATATATTCTGAAGGAGGGAAAAATTCCTAGCAGCTGCTGAAAGTGAAATTGATAAATACCTCTTTCATCTTTATCAAATCACTATTCAGTACAGTCACATTTATTAATAACAACATCCCTTAAACCACATTGTGAAAATCCATTAGCAAGAAATGCTTTAAAATGTACAACAGGCTGCAACAGATGGTTTATCAAAGGCTGAAACAATTCAACAGTATAAGCAGAGTGGGCATTTTTATGGGCTGCTGAGCGTGCCAGAGTATCATTGTGACACATCCACAAGTGGGCTGTTTGTGTTGTGTAACTAAAACTTTCTCTTGAATCCAGTAATCCACATAACCAAGAGCTAATGCAAACTCGTTCTGTGCTTTGGATGTTTTCCCCATACGTACCTGTGCCTGGAAATGCTGCCGGCAGTTTCAGAGCTGAGTGCAGCACTGTGGCAGTGCCACAGCTCTCACTGCTCACAGAGGGAATGCACACTGACTTCTCCATAACAAACCCTAATGAGAAGAATCCTCAGAGAAGTCGTAACTATTCCCATGAGAATCAACCCTTGCAGGACCAGCCTGGAGCCAATCACTGTATCACTCTTTAATTTTTCAACACAATTTGCCCTGGAAGTTTACATATTCCCTTCTTCCTTTCTTGATTTTTTAAAAGCCAACAGTTTGAATGTCAGTCACTGAGAGGGTATGAGATACGGAGGCGAAATCCAGAGGAGGGATTTTGTCATCGTCCTCATGGCAGAAGCTGCCAGCCATGCCCATTGTGCACATCCTGCACCACTGGAGCCATGTGTGCATCCCGGGAGGGCTGTTACAGAAGGGCTGCTGCCTTGCCCTGCTCTCGGTCGCTTCCAGTTTGCAGCAGAGAACAATAATGGCACAGACAGCGCAGCATTGCTGTGCGCTCGTTCCCCAGCAGTGACTGTATCTGTCACAGCCTCCTGCTGTATCAGGGCAACAACATTTCTGAAGGCATTTTCTTTGTTGCTGAACAAGGCGAAGTCTGAGTTGGGGAATACAGGAGAGGCGAAGGGACAGAGCGAGGGATGTGTCTGCAGTTGGGTACAAGTGCACAGCAGTGCTGGCAGATCAGCCTACACACATTCTCCTTCCAGATCTGATAATTCCCTAATTCTATAAAAACACACCCAAGGCAGGGGTCACAAGGTGCCTAAGGTAGATATGCAGTCTGCAGCTAAATGCATCCCAGTTCCCTGGAGGGAGAAGTCCCTTCACATCCATCAGCTGTACATGTATCTCACCCCAGCAGGACGGGCAGGCTGTGCCACCACCAACAGCTCACTGGCTTCATACGTCCCCGCAGTGTGTTCCACTTAGGAGGGCAAAAGGATGGCAGAACAAATCAGTGGCAGAATGTATCTTCTGTAATCACACACAAGTCAACTTGTTAAACTGATTGATTTCTGTCCCAACTGAGGTTATAACTCCATGATTACTTTTGACCGAGCACAGCTAGAAAACACATAATTACATGGGCCAAAGCACAGAGAATGGTGCCCACTGCTTTGCTGGTAAAGTGCAGCACATGAGGGGAAAAGAACCACTTGGAAATGAAGTGTACATTCACACCTCACCACATCCTCACTGCAGAGTTTCTGGCTTTCAGGCTTGGGTAGCATGAAAGGCGAAAATTTCTCAGGAGCAATGATGGATTGCGTGGCATGAAACATCGCAAATGGTGTCAGTGCTGGGGATGGGGGTTCCACCATCCAGCCAGATGAAAGCAGTCCAGGCGAACGCTGGTGAGACAACACTTGGCACCTTGCAGGAACGATCTTTCTTGGCTGTAATCTCCCCCTCATGGGGCATTTCCAGTTTTCTCTGTTGTTGACCTGCAGTGATGGAGGAAAGGGGTTGGACGTAGATGGTGCACTGAGCAGGAGTCGGGTCTGCTGGAGTGGGAACAGCTGTGGGGCTGGGAGGGAAACAGAGATGGGAATGAGACAGATACACTTCCCCTCTGGGAGGATGGGCTCAGGCAGCCTGAGGAAAATAAGGCTAAAATGAAAGGGAGGAAACCAGAGAAGAGAAGATGGAACAAGGGAGATCACAGAGAACAACAGGAAGCAGTGCTGAGATGTCAGACATGAAGGCTGGGCTTGTAGGAGAAAAGCAAACAGAGAGTGAAAAAAAAAAATCAGGATTAGTGTGCAAAAGACAGAAAAATTTTTTTAAAAGTCTTATAAAAGTGCCAACTACCCAGCTGCAGTAAGTGAAACTCCAGTACACTTACGTCAACACCACACCACAGATCAGCACCAGGGGAGGAGGTCTGGGGTTGTTTTTTAATTGCTTGGAAAGGCTTTCAGCGATGCAGAACATGAACTCCAGCTTCCACTGATGTCAAAGGGATTTAAAAGTGCTCACAGTCTCTCAAAACCAAGACCCAACTTGTCAAAGTACACGAGACAAGATGCTGCATTAATCCCTCGAGAAGAGCCAGCTTTGCACATTGCCTGACCTGCACCTCGACGTCGACACACCTCGATGGCACACATGTGGCAGGGACAGGGACACAGCCCAGCTCTGCCCACCCCATGCCAGGCTTTTGCTTTGCTCTCCCTGATGAGCAGCGAGGCCCTTGGTTTGCACAGCCAGGCGTGAGTAGGGTAAGAGGCATCCGCTTTGCTGGTTGAAGTGAAATGTTTGGCTTATTGGCACAGCTTGTTTAGATTGGCTCCTAGCACTCAGTCGATGTTATTAGAGAAAGCAATAAAAATGCATTAAATACTAGGAACTACATTAAAACAACATGGAGCATGCAACACAAACCAAGAAAAGCAAGAAGCAAGGGGCTGAGTATGGAGTCTGCCATTCCTTCAGTCATGAGTATGAATATGGTGGAGCCATGTCACAACGACATTTGAAGAGGTAGAGCTGGTGAGTTCTTGCATGCTGCAACATGGAAGATTTCATCCCCTTTTCCTCTCCAAACCACAGCTTCTAGAAAGACTTTGAAATGCTGCAGTCAGCTCCTACGCCTCCCTGCTGAGCTCCTTCCAGACTGAGCTCTTAAATTTGCTATGTTTTTGCCAAGACCTAATTTTCTTTTGACCACGTATTAAAGGGCAGATTCCCATGCCACAGGGAGGGACTGTGAGATGTCATCATGGACACATCTATCACCTGTCTGGTTGGAGCTCACTGCTCTACCCCACTTCTGCAGCTCCATCAGATATCTTAATTTCTTCTTTGGTCTTGAGATAGGACTCCAGGGGCTCTGGGATCCCTAATTTATCTGTTCTGTTAACTGATTTCAGCCACAGCCAGATCCTCACTTTTCTACTGTACTATGAAAATCACAACTGCATGTTACGCCTGGTTGAACAGCAAGGTGATTACTGTAAAGCCTGGATTTCCCAAGGGAATAAAGCTTTACATGGAGCGCTGTGTGAGCCCAGTGTGTGCAAGTAGTTCTTGATCGTGTCAGACTATTTCAAGGAGACAGAGAGGAGGATTTCTCAGAGCCCCGAAGGTCCCAGACAGGCAGATGACAGACGGAGGACACGGACACCATTAGCATCCCCTGAGGAAAAGACAGCAGTGAATGCTCCCTCTATACCAGATAGCAGAGATGCCACAAAGGTGAGCGCTGTTCATTCAACTCACTGATCACGAAATTACTCATTAAGCATCTCTTTGTGTGATCACCTTCTAATGCCACTCACCTGCCCCATCTGCCTAGGGCTGCACCCTGCACAGCTGTCCGGTAACCACCTTCCTCACCCAGCTGCCCATCACCTCCAAGGCCTCCAGCAGGGATCCATCCGTGTGTTGCTGCAGCAGCACAGCAGAGAAACCGGAGAGAGGATCAACACACAAGGCAACAGGAGCTGCAGCAGGGCAACAGCTGTCCCTCAGCACATCCATTGTTCTTGTGCAGAGAAGCAGCTTTAAGAAAGTGGTGTAAATTACAGGAACTGGATCACTGGCTTGAACAATGTCAGCACGTCCCTTCGAGGGCATTCACTCCCCCCACGCCATGAAACGACAAGTTATTATTTAACAGCAGACCTCACACAGAGGAATGTTTTTCTGTATTCATGACCTCTAACAAGTATAGCAATTGTTTACTATACTCTGAGTGATCCAGAAGGAGCTATAATGTGATAATTATAGAGAAACCTTCCTAAAAATATATTTCTGATGCATCAGCAAAAGCTCAGCAGGCCCCTCCAGCTGGCACTGTACATATGAGTTAAACCCAATTTGAGAATCAGATCATGCACTACATTTTGTGCAGCTGTGCAAAGACTCCAACCAGAAGTTCTGGAGCAGATGTCTTGTAGCAATGGAGGGAAGGACATGAAGAAGAAGAGAAACAGAAGAGGCCAAGGCCACGTTTCTTGATTGAGTGGTCAGTGACATCGGAAAGTATCAGTTCCACTTTCAAGCTGGATAAACTGAGGCTCTGGAAATCAGAACGCCGGCATTTTCTAATCTGCTCACTGACTGGTTGGTGTCTGACCTTCAAGGTCCAGCTTGACTCCAGGCTGTGCCTGCTTCCTCACAACTACTGAGCCTCTGCACGGTTCATGAAGGGATACGATTCATTATGATCATTTTTTATATTTGTACACCTGCTCTGTGCTCACCGTTTCCAAACCCCAGCTCATGCACTTGGAAGAAACACGCAGAAAGGCTTCGGGACGTTCCTGCCTTGTAGCCAAAGCCACTGAAAAGTCAACCTGCTGCTGCTGCCCAGAGGTGCTGACCTAACTAACCCCTCTGCTGCTGTTTCCGCTGATCAGACTGTGAAGGGAAGCCAGGGCACAGGTGTTTGTTTTCTTCGCCCAGCGCAGCACTTTTCTGGAGACAAGCTGGGACTTCACAGTCTCTGTAGCTCCTTGGCAGCATCTACATTCTCCTGTGCCTCAGTTTCCTCACCTACAGAAAGGCCCAGATGACAAACCCTGAACCTAGGGCTGTGTTAAAGTTTGGAAAACACACAGCACCTTGAAAGAGGGCTTCTGTGGAAGCACAAACAGTCATTTATTGCTTCAATTAAAAAGCGTGTGTGCCACAATCCACAGTCTGTTTATACTTACACTTCTTATGGATATCTCTCTGAAAAGAACCCAGCCTTGGTAGCTCATGGATTTGGCACGGCACACCAAATAATAAGCAGGCTCACCAACCCTTCTACAACACACAGTGCTTCTGTGTAACTTTGCAGGCTGTGTTTGACTTGTCTGAACTTGAACAGTCACCACTGATTGATTGGCTTCTAAAAATACACGTATGCCATGGTTCGGAGTCCAGAGAGCTCCTGTTGATTTAGATGGAGACCTTGCTGGTGAGAGGCTAAGACAGACACCTGACACCAGGGTGCTGCCATTGCGGCCACTTGCTGCCTCCTGTGCAGGGTGCTCTGAACGCGGAGCTCCGCCGTGCTCAACAGCCCTCCATACCTCTGAGTGGGGAAAAAAGCAGGAAGAAAGCAGCCCTACGGATCCCTTCCCTTCCTACAACTCCATTTCCAGGCTGCCCTGCAGCTGTTGGTGAAAAGCAGAGCGAAGCTGCGCATATCCTGCTGGAGGACTGAGCTCAGGCACTGAGCCCCTGCGGTTCCCAGCGGTCGAGGGAATGCTCAGTGCCCTGCTGAGCTGGGAGAGCTCCCAGGGGCAGGGATGTGACTGCTGCAAGGGAGATGCATCGCACTGTACCCTGGAGGAGGCCGCAAGCACATGATTATTGCAACAGAAGCCGCTAGGAGAAAAACCAGATTACCGTTTTCCATTGAAGGTAATAGGTGCCTTGTTGATTTATAACTCTGTCACTGCTGGCCATTAAGCAAACGGTGTTGCAGCTCCTAGATCCCATTCTGTAGCACACTCAGTAAGCTGCAGTCTCTGGCGCAATGTCTTGGAGAGCTCCACTGTAGGGCATAGGGCCACAGCTTTCCCCCTCAGTGACAATAATGTTAGCACTCCTAGTTACACACACCCAGATCACTACAGCTGAAGTTTCAAAATGCATTTTGGAAAGGGAAGGAGGTGTGGGGCTGCAAGGAGCCACGGCACGAAGCCCAGGAGCTCAAGCCCAGCAGCTTGCCACAGGGAAACTGCAAAAAGGCAGGAGCAAAGCAGTGTCTGTGCATTCTGGGTGTGATGCATTGACAGCAGCGTCCTGGGCACTGGTGAGGAATGCAGAGCACCAGGTTTGCTAAAGATGTGAAACTGAGACAGTTTCCTACACTGTGCCCCACACTGGCAGGTCTCAGGGCCACTCTGCTCACTTACCTGCTGACATCGGAGCTAACAAAAGACAAAGCAGAGTGCAGTCAAATATATACACTGGATGTTGCCATGCTACTGAATGCAGCTTAGCACAGCAGGACTTTTTCTAAATAATGTATTGTAGCTGAGCTAAAACCTAAATAACAAAGCTTACTTTGGCTCTCTGGAAGATCACAGCTAGACAGCTGCCTGTGGAATTGCAGGGCCAGTGGAAGAAATTATTGGTATTCTAGGAGCACATGGGACTGGAGATGATCACTGCAGCCAGACTCCGCTTTCACAGCATCACATGCCAACCTGTTCGTGTGTGGGTTATGCAACAGGACCTGGCTCTGCTCTCCTGATGCGAGGTCTTGCAGAACCTGGTTGCTCCAAGGCCCAGAACCCTCATTTCCAGCGTCAGTGTTTTCCATGCCAGTTTATAGTCACTCTGTCGTCCAAAGATTTACTGTCATTTATGTAACCTTCTTCTTTCTGCTGTGTCTACAGAAGCCAGCGCCCTCTCTTCAGCTCTGCCACACTGAACATCCCACACAGCCACTTCTGTGTCACTCACAGTCGAGTCGTCTTCTGAGTCCTGCTTCAGATTTCTCCTTCCCAAAGACAGATGATGGGAACTGGCTGTGACTTTCCAGACGGAGGCTGAGCAGTTCCTTGTATGGTGGCAGGAGTGCTTCCCCATCTTTACTGGAAATATCTTGCCTAATAAACCCGATGATCTCACTTGGCTTTTGTGTTCAGTTTTAAAAGGGGTATAAAAGCAGGCTCTCCAATATTTCACTTCATTTTATTTTAGTGTTTGTTATCTGGAAAAAAGAGGGTTATTAAACGGCCTTTTTAATTAAATTCCTTTAAATCTCTGAAAACAAGAAAGAAAGAAAGATAGTAAACAAAGTAAGACAGAAGAATTACCATGTGTATGAGCAGAGGTATTTTTTTTCCCGTAACACATTTATATATAAATCTCTTTTTCAAAAACTTGCAGAATGTCTCAGTTGCTCAGTCTGTCTCCTGGGCAACGTGACACCTCACAAGAGGAGCCTTGTGGGACATCAGTGCTGGGAATTCTATTGAAATTCTCGTCCAAATAAAAAGTATTCCTCATTTCTTGAAGGTAAGAAGAGCTTGCAGCTCTGCATCCTTCTGTCTTTGCTTGTCTTCATTGTCACACAGCTTATGAAAATAAAAGGCCATGAGCATCAATAGCTTCATTAAACAGGGGGGGTTCTATGGGTCCCTTTAGGCATACAGCCTCTTTCTAAAGGTCTGCAAAATGCACCAAAGAATTTACATGAGCAGCAAGATAGTAAATAAGCATAGCTTCTTGTAAAAAGAGTTCAGGCCCCCAATATGAAACATTCAGACTTCCATAAGTAGGAAAACAAAGTCTGGAAATCACTGGTTTAGCTAAAATAATCTGAGAAAGGCCTGCCCTCACTTCTGCCACCAGCACAGCCTCTACAGGATGAGGTCTCACCACGTATGCTGGCTGTGGGAGAAAGCGTGTCTGAAGGCTCAAACCTGCTGTTCATGAGACAAGACCTTACCAAAGGACTTGAGTACAGAGCTGACTCCTGATTAAACCCCAACTGTCAGCACGGCAGGTCAGGGCAACTGGAAGCATCAGCATGGCAAAGCTGGCAACTGACATCTACCTCAGCGACTGCTGGCGACAAGTAGCATGGAGTGGATGTCAAACACTGCAGGTTGTTTCCCTTTGAGTTCAGAGGGCATTTAAAAAATCACAGTACCACTGCTGTATTCACTGGAAGCCGGTGTGCAAGTCGCTCCAAGGGAGCTGCGCAGCCCCAGGCAGTGCCGCAGCCAGCTCTGATGTGCAGGAAGTCTGCACAGCTCTCTCCAGAGCTGCAGCTCTGTGGTGGTTGGGGCTCTGTGAGCACCGAGCTCCACCAGCGGTCCTTCAGCCTGTCCAATGCACACATTTCAGAAGTAAGACCACAGGGTATCAGAGGCCACTTCACTGCCTATCAGATGGCTCTGAAACGTTGTCCAGTGCTTGCTTTTAGTAATATTTACTCTATCTTCTCTACAACTTGCCAAATGTACATTTTTTGTCTCCTGTTGCTTTACTCCATTTTTTAAATAAGGAGACGATGCTTTCTGTGTCTCCCTCCTCAGATACCAGCACTCTCCCAGGGAACTCTCAAACACCGAGGCCAGAAACCAACTCCAGGAATTGTAGGTTGCAATTAATCTAAAATTGGTGACTTGTCAATTTTAGTAGTTTTAATTTCCCAGCTGTCTGCTTGGGTTACACACATAAAACTTCTAAACAATATGCCTTCTCTCTCTCTGCACACGGAAAAACAGATTCCCTGTCCTCCTTGCAGTATGTGACCTTTAGCTGCCCTCCCCTGCTTCCCAACTCAAGGAATTCGTTCAGCAGCCCCACTCACTCACCACCTTCCACTCGCATCCCTCTAAGGGCTCCAGCAGCTCCCTGCTCAGCTCAGAAAGATTTATACTTCTGTGCCCCTTCGTATCCTTCCTCTTTAGGCTTTGATTTACCATTCCAGCTTCCTTATCGCTCTATAGCACTTCCTACATGCTTGTCTTTATCGCTCCTCGTTTTCCCTCTTTGGAGTCACCAATGAGTTTTGTTTCCTTAATTGCAGTGGGAAAAATTCACCCAGCAAAGAGGTCTTTACAGGGAACTGTGCAAGTCCAGGCTCCAGTGGAACATAAATGGCATTTTGCTTCTGAGGCGGTCTCTCAGCACAGGAAGAACTTTCAAGCCATATCAAACTTCCTCGTGCAGTTCTCAGACCCTTCCCTGCTTTACATTTCCTGTGCATTCATTAAAGGAAAGCTCTGTGCCTTTCACAAGGCACGAGGAAACACGACCTTGTTCACCTATTTTCTTAGTGCCTCTCTCTGCAGAGAGCTGCTCCAACTCTCTGCCAACTCCTCCAGCAGCCCTTCCCACAGCCAAATGTCCTGGGCTTCATTTTCTTCCTGTCCTTCGGTTTGTGATCAGTGGGCTGCCTGTGGTCATCAGCACCCTAAGGACCTCTCATGGGGCCACAGACACACTGACCTGGGGCACCGTGATGGACCAAAGGAACCACAGAGCCCTCTCTGCTCAGCTGCCCTCACTGCTTCATGGTGGGACCTGAGGTTTGTGTTCCTCACCTTTTAACTCAGTCTTTGAAGTTACTTTCACGTTTGTTCTCCTACCCCTCAATATTCCCCTCTGCAGGGATTAAAGCTGGTGGTAAAATATCCCGTGAATGTTTACGATCACAATTACACCTGTTCCTAGAAGGATTTCACAGTCGAGTGAGTCTCATTATTCTTTTCATATTGGTCTTTCCCGCCCTGGTATCCAGATTTCCCAAACACACAATCCAAGCTGAGAGCCGTTTGGTTATGATTTCAGAGCATTTTTAACACAAATCCTGCCCAAATACTGACGTGAAAGTCTGGCAGGTAATGAAATACCTTTAGCTGGGAAAAAAATAAAAAAAGAAGGCAGAGGGGAATGTTTTCTATAAAGATTGCTTCTGTAAAGGACTGGGATGTGCATGACCAAGTAGCCAGGCCAGCTGCTATAAATACTGCAGAGTTCCAAGTTAGATCAATTCTACACAAATTGAGGCATTCCTGCTTCAGATCACACAACTGTGATCCCCTGAGGGGAAATTGCAGTTACCAGCACTGGTTAATGCTGATCTGGGTATGACCAGTACTCGAGCATGCAAGATGCTGGGCAAAAAAACGGGAAATTTTTAAGCTTGCTTTGGCATTAATTCAGGCTGAATTTCCCAATAGAAAAACAAAAGATCGGCACTTTTGGGTGCAGCTCCCCCACAGCACAATAAGGCTGCATCTTAAATGGGAGTTAAGGCACACAGAGTCAGGCTGCTTGGAAATAAACTCTAAAAAGTCACACCAGAAGCAGGAATGGGAACCAGAGCTGCACTCCTTCACAGCAGGCTGTCAAGAATCCACTGCTCCCACCAAAATCGCCTGGAAATCCCAGGTGTGTAAGGAGAGGAAAGACCTGATTTGTAAAATATTCCTGCTGGACAGAGTTCAACTTTACAAAAGATCACTGCCTTTCAGCTCCTTTTCTCTTGTAACCTACTTTAGCTGTTAGTGCCAAGCAGCAATTCATGTCCATTCAGAAATCATCTTGAAATGTCTTTGTGCAAAGGGAAACAGTTTCATATTCTGCACTTCTTCAGATTTCACATGGCAACTTCTTTCAATTTCCAGCGTAGAACAATTTTTCCAATAGGAAAAATCAAGTCCTACAGCAAAGGCAAATCTAATTCAGTATCTGTATTCACAGGGACTGTCTTCACCTGTGAATGCCCATGAAATAAATGAGGCTGGTAGAAGACTGGTTTAACTGCATGAAAGAGCTAACAGACAGCAATGGCACTGAAACTCCAACATCTGCCCCAGAGATGGGGACAGCACAATTACCCTGCAGTTAAAAGGAAAATACTGCTTCTCTCTTCCATTGTGATATGGTAACTTTCAGCAAAATGTTCAGCAGTCACAGATCTGTCCTAAATCTAATTGCACACCATGGTAAAAAACAGATGCTACACTTAAAAAAAAATGTACTGCAATGTCAAACACCACTACCAGAAAACACAGTGGCAGGCCTTAGCCCTGCAATGCCTCACATAGGAATTCTGCTTTTTCACACATTTGGAATAACTTTTCTAAAATCAGTGAAACCATTCAGAAAACAGGCAAGGGCTTTGGCAGCATCAGGGGACTGCTTCACCTGCATTGCCAGTGGAAAATTAGATCTGTTCACTCCTATATAACCTATTTCAAATCATACTGAATTACCTACAAGTTACTAAAATTAGACTAACAAATAAATTACCCTGTAGCTGAGCTGATAAAATGTGACTGTTTACATATGAGTTAATACTGGAGACTAATGCTAAGATTAAAGACTACTTCAAACACAGCCTTTGCCCAATATGTAGCCCAATATAAAATTCTGTTTGGTTTTGGCAGAGCTAAGAACAACTTTAACAACCTTGTTAATCATAGATTAAGAATGGAAAAGATCCTATTTGGCACCAGGCGTGCCATTAATAACAGGCAGGGGTGCAGCAGCAGAAGTGACCTCGCTTAGTGCCAAGGAGAGGGCTTGGGGTGCTGGAGCTGCACCAGGTCTGAGGGCACCCAGCAGCAGCTGGGCACAGTGCTGGGAGGTCTGCTTCGAGCCCTTCACATCTCCTTTGTGTTTTGATGCTCCTCAGTCTGTACTGGATCTGTTTGAAAAGCCAGCAAATATCCCTGGGAATCCAGAACTGCCTAATAAATGTTTTCTAGTCCTAATGAAGTCCGCTCCCTTTCTGAAGGTTTCTGTCCTTGACGAAACGAGGCATGAGGCTGACATTCCTCACACCACCTTTCTCTCTGCAGTGCACAACGTGCATTTCTTTAACACAAAGCTTAGTCCCTCTCCATCCCCAGGCTGTGCATGCAGTGGAGCTCTGTGTGATCCCTGCCACCAACACCCAGCCCTGTGCTCCCCATGGCCGGCTCTGAGCCCAGCACCTGGGCACGTCCCACACGCAGCATCTCACTTGGACTTTTCTGCACTTTCTGTACTCTTTTTCTGCACTCCCTGCTTCTTGCTATCCTCTGGCTCTCCATCCCCAAAAGGATTTTCTGCTAGGGTGGGAAATCAGCTCTTTTTGGTTTATGCAGCATCTGTTTCTCAGACA